CAATAAATAAATTTGGTGTAACAAGGAGTTTTAATTGAAACTCCAACAATTAAGCCCACCAGGGCACTACTCATTACAGTAGGACTAGAGGACACAAATAGGCAGGGTAGGAGTCATCTTCAGCTAAGACAGCTAAAAGGGTAGTTGGCCTTTGGAATGCATTGCCTTCAAATGTTGTGGCAGCAGTAAATTTAAATGAGTTTAAGAGAAAGCTCGATAAGTATATGAATGATAAGGGCTAGCTTTGAAGTTTTTAATTTTTATTTATTTATGTTTTTATTGCTTTAATTGTTTTAGTTTAGATTAGAGGATCAGACAGCCTAAATGCATCAGTAGGTACATTGTTGTCCCTAAACATTATGTTATGTGATAAATATACTCAAGAGAAAGCTCACACAATTAAATAAACTAAATAATAATTAACAAAAAATAAAGGAATACCATATCACACTGCAGTAACGCTTGTACATGATATAAGATTGACTGTTAGCAGGCAACTTGAATGCAAAAGTAGAAACAAATATGAGTATTAATAGTAAAAGTATAAGTAAACATAGTACTAGGCTAACAAATCAAAATAGCTATAAACTAACTGAATACTGTATTTGCAAACAACATAATTGAAGGCACTATTTTCCTACATAAATAGATTTATTAAATCACATAGAACTCAACAAATGGAAAAGGTAAAGCCAAACAGAACATATAATAATTAGCAATAAATGGCATAACTCATTAAAAGATGTAGGAGTTTTTTTAGAAGTGCTCATTTTGGAAGTATGACTATAATCTCATCAATGGAAAATTCAAACTATCATTTTCAATAAAGTCAAAACAAAACAAATATGACAAAAAATTACTAAGAAATGAAGAGGTAAAGAAAAAAATCAATAATAATATTGGAGAAGATTTCATGTACTGTTTCCCTTAATTTTCAAAAAATCAAATATTGAATTACAATGTGACTTGTTCAGGAATAGAATTAACAAAACAGCAAAAATTACATTTAAGCACAGAAAGAAAAAAATGGGAATGAATTGTTATAAGATATTCTTCTCAAAGTAAAAGAAAGAATGAAAGTTAAAACAGAAGATAATAGATAATTATATTGAGAGTTATAAAGAAAAGAATGTAGGATCCAACTAAGAAACAAATTATAAAAACTACTTAAAAAAACTGACTGCCAACTTGAAGAAGCAGCTAGAGATATTGATTCAAAAGAATTGCACAAAAACATATCAACAGGGAAGGACAGATGCAAAGGAAGGAAGGAAGATTAAATGTAAGTATAAGAGAAGTTAAAGATGGATACTGTACTTCAGAGAGCTATTAAATAATCTGTAACTATATAAGAAAAACAGACTGGAAAATGAACTGGAAAAAGCTCAGTTAGACATAAACATGACAATACAAAGAATAGATGAAATAGAGTAGCTAAAAACAATAAAATATCAGGATTAGATACCAGTACTATAGAACTACTAGAGAATATGGGGGAAAATGTACAGCACAGGCTATCTGGATCAGAGAAGTAACACCAAAATAATGAAGAAAAGACATTATTCAACCAGTTCCAAAGAAAGGTGATTAAACTTAATACAGTTACAGAGGAATAACACTATTTTCTGGAATATATAAGTAAAATATTCTATCTAATCATGCTAGAAAGTGTAAAAGATGCTACAGATATGTAAGTAAGAGAACACTGGACAGAATTTAAAAGGTAAAGGTCTGCAGACCAAATTTCTTTTCATATGGCAAAAAATAGAAATATATCATAAATACCAATAGTATTGCATATTCAGTTTCATTGACTTTAATGCAGCATTTGATTCATTACACCATGATTCTATATAAAAGATACTTAAGATCTATAGATTGCCAGAATAAATCATTACTGCCCTAAGGTGTGTATAACAACACTCATTGCTTGTTAGGACAGATCAACTGTAATACTAGTCCATGACAGAGGCACCTGTAAAACAAAAACCTGTGTGATCACCACTTGTACAATAACTGACTAGGTTTAAACTCCATGAAGGAAAGAAAATGCACAAACTCAGACACACTAAAAGGCGCCTTACCATATCATAGCTATGTAACCAAAAACATCATAAACATTTGGAAACAAGTGTAAAAAAATGCAGTCTAAACAAAAAAGTTATCTTTTATTTACAAATTGAGTACTAAAATAAAAGATCATCTAAGGAAGGTCTGTTTTGACATCAATAATAGAAGCATCTACAAATATCAATGTGATTGATGCAACAGCAATTATATAGGTGAAATGGTATGCAAAATAAATATTAGGATCAAAGAACATAACAATCCCCATTACACATTTACAAAGAAGGCAAAATGAATCAACATCCAATCAATGTGAGCAACTTTAAAATATTATGTAATGAGACTAACATTAATAGATGTAAAATAAGAGAAGCATTTATTCAGGAACTAAAACTTAATTTAAATCAAAACACTGGTGCCACCTTATATGTTTTCTAAGTTCAAATAAAATGCTCATGCAACTTTCTAATATTTCATACAACAGATGATAGTTTACCCGATGATGACCATATGAGTGGTCAAAACATTGTTATAAAATTCAAAAAGTAAAATAATCCACTCAAAAAGCTGCGTCTCTGGACTTTTATTTAAGGTATACAGTGAATTTTCTCTTCTTACAACGCGTGAACTGTAACATCTTTTAGAAAACAGTATCCCTACCAAATTGAACTGCAGCATATTTCAGATGATAATCGTACTAAACTTAACTGTAATAAGTTTTAGAAAATGGTCTTACCAAAGTGAACTACAGATAACCTTAATAAACTGAAGTATATGTATAATATGACCACAGTCCTAAAAAAAAGATGAGCTACATACATATAATGTTTCAGAAGGGCATTAGCCTTATTAAGTTGCATTTTAGTATGCTTAATGAAACATTAACTTTTTTAAACTGAGATTTAATTAACATTCCTCAGAATAACAGAATCTTGATTAAACAGAAGTTCAGCATTTTTCAAGATGACAGTACCTTATAAGATTGTGATATAACATACTCATAACTAAGAAAACCTTACAGAGTAATACTTGGTATACTTGTTGAAGATACTAACCTTACTAAACTGAGCCATGACATATTTTAGAATATTAGGTGGAGCCAAGTGAAGGAGAGATTCCAGAGCAGGAAAGACAGTGCATTTCTGCAGAATCATCTTCAGAGATCTTTTACACTGAAATGTACCAATACATTTAAGTTTTACTTAAGTTTTATTTGTATACTATTCTGTATAGTTTAGAAAGTTAGCACATTGTATGATAGTATTATTAGTTTATAATTTTACTATGCGTAAATTACGTTTCTTCTTTTAACAAAGCTGAAATTTATGAGCTTTATGATAAAAGCTTAAAATAAAAACTGAAAAATTACTTTCATCGTATAACCACTTAAATTAAAATAATAGGATATAATTGGTTATTTTGAAATGTTTAAATATTACAGTTTGAATACTTATACTTTGCTTGGTGACTTTAACCACTTAAAGAAAAGGTCTGCTTAAAATATCTCTTGTTTGATTCAAAATATCTAATTATGAAATTATTTCCTTAAAATTCCTTTGGTAAAACATACATCTTAGCATTTTACTATAATTTACTTTTTCCTTTAAATCACACGAACTGTCAGGATCTAGAAACAGCTCTAAGAGCTTGGGTAGCACATTGGTTTCAGCTACTGCTCTAGAATGTACTGGAGTATGACAGCCCACCTGGCCCAATGACCAGGCTGCTGCAGCCTTCATATGGTCCTCGGGCCCTTCATGAAGCATTGCAGACAAAGGAGGTACACCCTAAGAACATGAATTAGTTTATATTAAACTTGAGATATGGCTGCTTATGTAGTAAAAGAAAAAATATTTATAGCAACCACTTAACATTTTATGTTCTTTACAATAAAGCACATCCAATTAATGCAAACATTTTGGAATAATATAGTCTTCAATTATTCACTCTATTAAATGTTAAAAAACAAATGGTGGGTTTTGTGTATAATATTATTGAAAAAGTGCATTATGGACTTAATTTAAAATTTCTTTTGTGCTACAGCTGTGAAAGCTTTTCAACACACTGGCCTCTATTTACAGGAATGCTTTACTTAACAAGTTGTATATGAAATCAGAAATATCAACCTTAATAAAATTATAGTAACATCCACTTAGAGCAGTTAATACAATAAAAATATATAATAAGGTTTAGTGTCTGTCACATAACTTCCTAAACCACTAGTAGCATCGACTTCTAAGTGGTACCAAACAACTCATCTCAGTCCCAAGGTTTGCACAAAGGTAAAAGCTTTCACAAAAAAACACTTACAAGAATTCCCCAAAGGCAGACCCCAAATTTGTCATTGATTTACATTAGAGCACATAAAGCAGAAGGTCCATTAATTATTGTTTGTAACTTGGTTAAAGTGATAACATTTTTCATTACAGCAGTAAAAAAATATTAGTTCAAGCATTAAACTTGCATTATAGTGGACCTGTAGATGTAGGCCGTAGGCCTATGGGTTTGCTAATTGCTAGTTCTACCCATAAGTTGCTATATATAAATAGCGAAAAAAAGAGAAAAAAGTTTTAGATAAAAATTCATAAGCACTAAGGTTGATTAAAGAAAGTAACATTGTTTTTCATCCAGAAGATCATGTTTGAGTGTATGACAGTTTTAATTTTATTTAGATTAAATTAAACAATTATTCATGTAAACTACAATAAACAATTGAAGAACTGTGAAGGAGAATATATTATTATAAAGTCATGTAGATTTCAATTTATACATTAATATTTTGGACACAGTATAATTAAAACTAAATAGTTTTAATTAGCTAAAAAGTGTTTCACTATTAGTAAATTATACTATATATTAATAGAAAAGCACTTTTTTGAGTAATTTAGTCCTTTACATTAGTTTTGTAATATTTGTTTCTTCCAATTTAACTAGAAGAGGAAATTGGTTCCTAAGGAAATGCAGATGTTGACATTTATAATACCCTAGAAAAATTACAAAGAAATAAAACAAAACAACCTAGATTTTGTAAATGGGAGAATAACATAATTTCATAATAGCTAATAAAAAGGACCTTACTAACACCAGTTAGTGGGTTTACCCTTTAGCTAAGTTAGCAGTAGTGTAGGATAATTGTCTCTGGGTAATAAAAAAAGGTGCAAAACTGCTGAAAATGGGATCTAAAAGAATAGTTAAAATATATTAACATTTTACTTGTGTTAAATCTGGCATCATTATCTAGTTAATGATCGTGAAATATCCATGTTTTGTATCTCATTGATTATCTAATTTTATGGGATACCTTCAGAACTTCAATTAACAAGTTTTGGAGTCCCAAAGAGCTAAATCATTAATTACTCAAGTTTTATACAAAAAGGAACATTAATAGTAAGAAAGAAAACAATGAAAAACATTTTGGTAATAATGAAAAAGTATAACTCAATTAGATATTCATATTCAGTATTTATTAAACAAGTTTTCAACTCCTCTATTGAGTACTCTTTAAGCTAGCTAATAGGCAGTAAAAACAAAATTTGAAAAAATGCTTTTCTTTACCCACATTATGAATATGAAACAGAACACTTGGTAAGGTTCATGAAAACTCTCTTCAACTTTCTGTAGTAAAATCTTGGTTTTACAGACTGGTCTAGGGAATGACATCACTCAAACATCCATTGTCAAAGACTTGCCTTACATACTGGTTGTTTATCATTGACTTCTCAGTGCACACAAACTGCATAGGGGGTATTTTAACATGCAGCTAAGACATTTTTGTGTAGTTCTAGAAGTTCAATGTGCAGTTAAATTTTTGCATGTAAATGTGGGAGAGCAACAGAACCAACAAACTTTTCTCTAAAAATGTAAATTACATTCTGTATATAATAATGGATGCTACAACATGACATAGGTTTTAGCATCATTAGATAAAATTTTAATAAAAGTTTCATGAGCATTTAATATAACAGAGTATGTATAATCTTACTAATATTTTCATTATGCAAAAAAAAGCAAACTGACAAAGCAAATAAATAAATGCATAAAAATAATGATCAGCACCCTCCAGGGAATGTTACAATGTGGTACACATTTTAACCTATTATTTGTGGAGTCCCTGAACTGAGTGATACTTTTAACCATTCAAGTGATACTTGTAAATGCAGAACAATTGTCTTTTTTAAAACAAAATAAAATGATACAGAACTATCTACAAAGTTTGATAGCTAAGACTAATAACTATAGGTTCTTTCCTTAGAGTAGGAACAAGTTAGAAAAATCAATTTCAAAACTAGGGGCCACTGACATCTTCATCAAGCAGAAATCAAAATGTTTCAGGTTTTTATAGCATTTATTATTTTAAACTGTTATTTGTGTTTGATGATTAAATGACAGAGAGAAGGGCTGTGGAGTAGATAAAAGGAAATTATTGTATGTATGAAACTGTGGACAAAGTTTTAGGGGACCAAGGGGCTTTTGCAAACATTCTGTCACTCTTGTTATACCATCATTGGTACGACTATTTGTTTTTGTCACTTCAGAGAATAAAGGACTGAATTGACAGAGGGTTAGCTGTTAGAATACCATAAAAAAATGACTTGGTTTAATAAGTTAAGAAAATATTAATTATGATGATATAACAGTAGTTTACAATAACTACTGTATAAGTGATGGGTAATTAAATCATAATTTTATTAGAATATATTTAGGAATACTCTAAACACCACTGATTACAGATTATTGGTTCAATTCTACTTAGATAGCTTATTTTCAATTCCTTCCATAGCTCATGGTCAAAACGCTATGATAATAAGAACTTGTAGGAAGTTCATATAATGAAAAACTGTATTCTCTGATGTTTAGTAAATTATACAATTACAAATTTCACCTTTGATTTAATTACTGCCATAGCTAAGTTCTCAGAGTGGGCAGCTATATATCCTATTAACATTATTCCTGGAAGGCAGGCATGGCCACCGGTATCATTTAGGTAGTCTACAACAGGGCCAAGACCTCCAGCATTCACAACCAAAAAGGCCAGCTGTGGAATAAAAATTCATTATTTTCACATACACATGCAGTTCTTTACTCAGAAATTACATAATCAAAATATTGTATATCAGAATCTTGAAATTTTGAAAAATAAGATTATTTCTAGGGGTGATTTTTCATTTAGTGCAATCATCAGTTTGGTGCTAATTAATCCTTTTGAAAAATTTTACTGTATAAGCATAAAAAAACACCTTACATTGGTTCTTTCTACAATCATACTTTAATGAATTGAAGCTTAATGAGAGTATTGTTTCTTATTTAAAATCTTTTAATATGTTATGTTTTATTAGCATTCACTGTCACTCTAAACTTTATACAATAAAACATTGCTCTAGTTAGATTTATATTGTCCACTGTGATATCCATCAGGTTCAAGGACTTCCGCTAAATAGTTAAACAGCATTAAACTGAAGTTTGACACCTAGCAAGTTGATAAGCTTCTGAATGACTAGGAATCAAGATAAGAAAGACAGATAGAATGGCTCACAAACAATTCTTCATTTGCAAGATGACATATGAAACTTAAAACATAATATATTGCTGCATGAGAGATATTACATATGCTGTAAAGGTTCAGTTCCAATAATTACAATTTTAAAAGTAACTACAAGAAATTTTGGAGAAAAAAAATCCAGCTAAAGCAAGATAAACTCCCTGGAACTTAAAAAAACAAAAAACACATTATCTTTTTTGAATGATCCAAACTAGTGTCTAAAATATATTTTAATGTTGCACTTATGATTTTTAATATACTTTGCCTTGATTCAATTGCATATGACTGCTACTGATTGATTTTTGAACTTTATCGTGGTGGCTTGGTTGTCTTCTAAGTTCTAATATTTTTATATTACTAATATTATTAGTTATGGTATGTACTCCTAATCCAATTTTATATTGCATGATGTTATGAGTTTTCAATCTGATCCAATATTTGATTGTTATTCTATTTCTTGTACAATATCCTAGGTAACTTTCATCCTTAAATATCATAATTGGAAACTATAACTTTCAGCTCAACATTCCACCATTACCTATATGCAGTCACAATGTTTGAAATTTCACACCTTTGGCTGAATGTTATGTAAGATTATCTCTGTTTCCTTATTAGTCCTTTGGTCTTTTATGTCTATGGATAAGCTTCTCTGAATCACAATCCTAACGTGCATGTAATGAAAAAGGATTATCTTTTACATGCTCAGTTTTAATTTATAGTATTCATGGACATCCAAGTGAAAGAGTTTTGAATAGAAACTAAATTTCAAGGCAAGAGCTTGCCTGTAATATTTGTATTTTGCTGCAAGATGATGTTGAGTAGAAATTTTCTCTAGTTTGAATTGAGTTCCTGTACATAGAAAGGATTTTATGCCATAAATATTTTAGATAACACCATATTTCATATTCTAATAATCAAACATACAGTTACAAAATGAAAATCACCTAGATTGAAACACACAAAATGCATTTCAAAATGAATTCAACATTAAACATAGCTAGCTATACATTAATATACAATGCAAATACCACAGAAATATACAACGCTACAAACTAATCAAAATTAATGAACAGCAAAACTCAATTAAAATTATAACCATTATGTACAAATACAATAAACAATTAGTAAAAAAACATAATGCTAAATACAATTACTTTCATATATAACAATTAATTACAATAATAAACAATTAAACTTGAACTAAATTATAATTAATAGACTCTAAAAACCTTATGCATAAATCCTATACAAATATTAAACTTTAATCATAAATTTAAGAACAGTAATACATATATGAACATCAACTATTCACAGACAATAATAAATATGCTAGCAGATGCCTGTTGAAGTAATTCAATAGTAATTTTCCTAAAAATAGTGATGAATAAATATAAAATGTGCACTCAACCCAATACCTTGGATCAGAACCAATATACAGTATGGCTGTCTAGTGGGCGATTTATGACTGTATATTGCCATTTCTTGTGTTATTTCAATAAGAAAAATTACACTGCATTTGTTATTAAGCAAAGGAAACTGACTGTTGGCAAAAATGTTTTGGTTTTGATAAAATAGGTGCATCCAGCACAATAGAGCACTCATGTCGGTAAGTGGCCATGGGGATTTTTTCTGCTGGATTCCACCATTCCTTATCATTTTATTGAGTGCAAGAAAAGACATTACTGCAGTGTGCACTTTTTGACAGTTCTCAGTTTTATAAGAAGTGTAAAACGGCAGATATTGAATACAATATATTTGACATGGTACAATAAAATCATGCACATATATAATACTGAGATGAAAAAAATATATATATTTATATATATAAACCAAAAAACAACAAATATATACTCAAATACGTTTTTCTCTTTATGCATTTTTTCTGTTCATGCTCCTATGTTTGAAATATTTCTTTCAACCAGTTGACAGAAGAAGTTTTGTTTTTTGGTGAAATTCCCTTACAAAAAGAAACATTTATATTCTTGATAAATTTTTTTCTCAGGTTGATCATTCAGCATGTATACAGATTGGTGGATCGATACTGATATCAATATGAAATTTAAGGAATTGCAAAAAATGAATAATTTTACATGAACATACTCTTGAAACTAAGTATTTTGATATATAATTTTTTTTCTATGATTAACAGTTGAGGACATACAGAGAGTAACTGACAGACAGACATTTTGCTATTATCTATGTAAATGTTAGAATACACATGTTCTAGTTACCTGTTCTATATTCTTATCTCTGTGGTTTCTCTTTCTTGCTTCACTGTGGTTCATGTGCTTTGTTTCTCTTTTTATTCTTTCTGTTTCTTAGAATATTGTTGTAGGCTATGTTTTAAATATTT